AAGGCTTAGAGTCTAAGCCAAATTAGTTTTAGCTTAAAGTCTAAGCTAAAACTAATTTTGGTAAGATTACTTCCAGTTACCACTTAATTCTGCTTATAAAATAAAATTGCTTTCTTTTAAACCAGTCTCTTAAATAATACCATTATTCCCATCAAGCAAGTGAACTCTGACCCTTGGTGGTGTTTACCTCGTCAGGAAACACCTGTCTCCTGACGCTGGTCTTTGTCAGATGAACATATATTAAGTGGTTCAACATCCGCTGGTCTACCCAAGTCAGATTTTCACCTGATATTATAACCAGAAGGTCAACATGAAGTAACTGAGATCGCTTACCATTATTGCAGAATGTGAGAGAACTGACTGTAAGCCGACGGTTCTGCCATATATATACTGAGAGTTCCTCAAGGCTGCTCCATCAGTTGGATCTCCTCCTGTCACCTCAGTAAACCTCTTGAAGGCTAAAAGGACGAGCTAATGCGCAATATAACTGGAATATTCGGAGTCTGTTCATAAGTAAGTTTCTCCAGGTTCCTGTCCAGCCTCCAGTTTCTGCTCCATCATGACTTCCATGGAGGTCCTCTCTCTTGAACAAGACATACACAATACATGGGTATCTTTATTATCAAGACGTTTCGCCAATGAGTGTCTTTAAGTTCAATACAGAGATTACACACCGGAGACAGTGGAGGATGAAGCAGTCAGACTTAATCAGTTAATTTAATCAAGGGACTGAGTAATTATCTCATCATCCTCTGTCTTCATTATGTTATCTATGTAACGAACTGCAAAAACCAGTGGTGGGCAAAACTTGATAATAAGGATACCCAGGTGTTGCACATGTATCTTATTCATTAATTTGTTGATACTGTTCACCGGAGCTTCTTTGTTTACATCAGCTGCTATAGTTTATGTGTTAATTCGTTTGTTAGGTTTAAAGCCTATCGACTACAAGAGGGTCACTAAAGCTGTACGCTATCAAGAATGTTTTAATCCTTGAAGAGGAACTAGTTGGCTTATTAAGGGTTGTTATAGCTGCGTAATCTGCACATCAAGAACTTTATCCTTAATAAGATTAAGTAGTTATCAACATTACAACACTGGAAGTATCTGCCTTAACGGTGTATTTACTTGACTAAGAATTACATTTGTTAGTCAATATAAACAGAGAAACACGTCATCGGGTATATAACTTAGACATCAAATTGGTTCACCACACTTAGGGTCACACAGTTGGCTTACACTAATGGGTGTTCATACTGGTAAACATCTATACACCATCAAACACTTTCAACCCAATTAGGTTTCAATACATTGTCAACAACAACACTTGAAGTACACCTAACGGTGTCACTACACCTTGGACAGACATTACATTGGCTCATCCAATTAACACAAGGGTAACACTACACTTGGGTCACATACACTTGGTCACATCACACTTGGGTCACATCACACTTGGGTCACACCACACTTGGGTCACACTACACTTGGGTCACACCACACTTGGGTCACACCACACTTGGGTCACACCACACTTGGGTCACACTACACTTGGGTCACACCACACTTGGGTCATCACACATTTGGGTCACACTCACACTAATTGGGTCACACCACACTTGGGTCACACCACACTTGGGCCACACCACACTTGGGTCACATACACTTGGGTCACACCACACTGGTCACACCACACTTGGCTCACACACATTTGGGGACACACCACACTTGGGTCACACCACACTTGGGTCACACCACACTTGGCTCACCACATTTGGGTGACACCACACTTGGGTCACACCACACTTGGGTCACACCACACTTGGGTCACACCACACTTGGGTCACACCACACTTGGGTCACACAACACTTGGGTCACATCAAACTTGGGTCACACCACACTTGGGTCACACCACACTTGGGTCACACCACACCTGGGTCACACCACACTTGAGTAATGCTGTAATGTTTTCCTCACCATATTACAGAAAGAGACAACATAATTTTGTGGAAATTTTGAGTACTCTCTCAGTATTACCAAATCAGCCCAGACACACAACTGTCCAGCTGTCTTACTTTCACTGTCCAGCTGAACTAAGCAAAACAGCTGTGACGTTGTCTTGCTTTGTTCCACTTGAGATAGAAGTATTTGGAAGCTTTACGTGATAAACGCTGACTTCTGGTGTTGTGGTTTGGAGAAATCGCTCAGTAACTTGCGCATTCTAAGCGATTGTTCATTGTAAGTGATTGTATTCTGAGCATTGTTTAATATATTTATTGATGAGGCTGTAAGAGAAGTAAATGGTCGGGTGTTGGGAAGAGGTGTAGTATTAAAAGATAAAGAATATAACACAAAATGATAGTTGTCACAGTTACATTTCTGCTGATGTCACTGTACTTTTGAAAGATTCTGAAGAGAAGTTGCAGAGGTTAGTGGACGAATTTGGGGGATATGTACAAGAAGAAAATTGCCAGTAAACATAGGAAAGAGCAGATTGGAGGGAGTGAGTATGGAGGAGGTGAATGTATTCATACATATGGGACTGGACTTATCAGCAGATGGGTCTATGAAAGACAAAAGAATCACAGAATTGATGAGGGTAAAAAAATGAGTGGGGCACTGAGAATTCTGTGGAGACAAAGAACGTTATCCATAGAAGCAGAGAGGAATGTACGTGAGTATAGTGGTACCATCGCTCTTATATGGCTGTGAAGTATGGGTGGTGAATGTTGCAACAAGGAGAAGGTTGGAGGCAGTAGAGATGTAGTGTCTGAATGTAATGTGTGGTGTGAATATAATGCAGAGAACCCGTAGCTTGTAGATTAGGAGGTGCTGTTAAGATCGTTCAGACATTCAGAAAGGATAGAACAAAACAGGATTTGGAGGGCGTATAAATATGTAATGGAAGGAAGGCAAGGTAGAGGTCGTCCTAGGGAAGAATGGAGGAAGTGGATAAAGGGGGTTTTGCGTGCGATGGACTTGGACTTCCAGCAAGCCTGCGTGATCGCGTTAGAGAGGAGCGTGTGGAGACAAATGATTTTTATGACTTAACGTGCTGTTAGTGTGGGCAAAGTAACATTTTTGAAGGGATTCAGGGAAACCGGGTAGCCGGGCTTGAGCTCTGAAGGTGGAAATTACAGTGCCTGCACTCTGAAGGAGGAGTGAAGATATGTTGCAGTTTATGAATTGTAGCATCTTCACGCCTCTGGCAAGACAGTGATGACTTGAGTAACGATGAAAGTGTTTCTTCCTTTTAGGGTCATCCTGACTCGGTGGGAAACGGCATATGTGTTAATAAAAAAAATTCTAATATTGGTATTGAAGTGAACTCTCTGTGTATACATATTAAGATATGTAATTCTTCAAGTGTATATGTACTATCGCTCGCACTGCACACACATCAAGAGTGATATAAAGTGCTGCTGAAATTTATAGTTGGTTAACGAGGTTTAAAGTCTATGCATAACACTAGGATTATTAAGCCTTCAAGTAATCTTCTCACCGGTAGACCAACTCCAAGTTTACTTTAAGCGTTTAAAGATTAAGGGACACGTCAGTTCCTCTTTCTTCTAATATGTTATTTTTCCCCAATAATCTACTTTGTCCATAATTACTATCACATTTACTTTGTCTGTGTCGTAAGGTGAAGTCCAGGATCTTTCCTTAATTCATGGTATAACTTAACAAATCTTTGATGACAGTTGTGTTGCAGAGGTGTGAGCTTTGCTCTATGCCCCATTAACTAAGTAACCAACACACCAGCCCACCAACATGACTCTTGTAGCTTAACTTTTATAAATAGTGTTGTCTAGAATTTGAAGCTGTGAAACGATTGTTGGTATATTACTAAAAAATAAAGCAAGAATATATATATTTAAAATAAAGTTTCTTACGGTGGTGACGAGTGTGGCAACGCCCAAGCCTCCGCCTCCTCAAGACTGATGAATATTGTGGCCGGATCTACCACCAGAAGAGGAGGGAAGAAGGAGAGGGAAGGATTTAAATGGGTGATGAAGGGGATGGGGAGAGGATGAGAAGGAGAAGAAAAGATATGGAGTTTAACCACTTAAGATTTTTCGGTATATTGTGTGTACTCACATGCAGTATATGTAGTTGCAGGGGTCGAGCCACAGATCCTGGCTCCTCCTCTTCGCTGGTCGCTACTAGGTCCACTCCCGGCTACAAGATCCTTGTCGTACCTCTTCTTAAAGCTATGTATGGTTCCCGCCTCTACCACTCTAAATTGTTCCACTTCCTGACAACTAAGGCTAGAGAAATGTGTACTCACCTAGTTGTGATTGTAGAGGTTGATTCACAGCTCCTGGCCCCGCCTCTTCACTGACCGCTACTCGGTCACTCTTCCTGCTCCATGAGCATGTGTGTACTCACCTATTTGTACTCACCTATTTGTGGTTGCAGAGGCCGAGTCATAGCTCCTGGCTCCGACTCTTCACTGATTGCTACTAGGTCCTCTCTCTCTCTCTGCTCCATGAGCTTTATCATACCTAATGTATACAGTGTACAGGGTCCTGAATGACTCCTTATTAAGATGTCGGAATGCTATTCTTAGGTTTGCTAGGCGCCCGTATGCTGCGCCTCAGAAAATGTGCCTGGTGTTATACTCACCCCAAGATCCTTTTTCTTGAGTGAGGTTTGTAGTCTGCTCTCCCCCAGACTGTACTCCGTCTGCGGTCTTCTTTGCCCTTCCCCAATCTTCATGACTTTGCACTTAGTGGAGTTGAACTCCAGGAACCAGTTGCTGGACCAGGTCTGCAGCCTGTCCAGATCTCTTTGTAGTTCTGCCTGATCCTAGTCCGATTGAATTCTTGTCAACTTCACATCATCTGCAAACAGGGACACTTCTGAGTCTATTTCTTCCATCGTGTCTTTCAGAAATACCAGAAACAGTACCGGTCCTAGGACTGACCCCTGTGGAACCCCGCTCGTCACAGGCGCCCACTCTGATACCTCGCCACGTACCATGACTCGCTGTTGTCTTCCTGACATGTATTCCCTGATCTATTGCAGTGCCTTCCTTGTTATTACTGCCTGGTCCTCCAGTTTTTGCACTAATCTCCTGTGTGGAACTGTGTCAAACGCTATCTTACAGTCCAAGAAAATGCAATCTACCCACCCCTCTCTCTCTCTTGTCCTACTGCTGTCACCCTGTCAAAGAACTTCCGTAGGTCTGTGACACAGGATTTCCCGTCCCTGAAACCGTGCTGGCTGTCGTTGATAAGCTCATTCCTTTCTAGGAGCTCTATCACTTTTCTTCTGATAACCTTCTCCATAACTTTGCATACTATACATGTCAGTGACACTGGTTTGAAGTTTAATGCTTCGTGTCTGTCACCTTTTTAAATACTGGGACTACAATTTCTGTCTTACATACCTCAGTTAGTCAGCCTGTTTCGATAGATGTGCTGAAGATTGTTGTTAGTGGCACACATAGTGCCTCTGCCCCCTCTCTT